CTGTACTTTATTTTGCCCGAGGCCCCCGGCTCTTTGTGACTGCTGTTAGAAGAACGACGTCTTGATTTAATTTGTAACAGTTTTTATTTTCCATAGCTAAGCTATCTCAAGCGGCCAATCCTGAAGACATTTCAACAAATGAGGTGGAAGTGGCCAAACCCTATTCAGTCCAGGGAGGACACCCAGGTCCCGAATCGGGTATGGAAACTGCCATTTTATGCTTTACTCCAGCCGCACCACATCAACCCCAGCAGGTTACTGGTAGACCGCAACTCATGAATATCCCAATGTAAACCAATGCGTTCCCTTAATCATGCGATCTTCTGTTGCTCTTCGACGCCCCCTGCAGGTGCAGTGCTCCCACTGGCTCTGGGCCTCATCATCACTGCCCTACTGCTTATCATGGTGGGCTGCCGTCTGCGCTTAGTGCGTCGCAAGCTGAAGAAGGCCCGGCCAATCATGTCTGAAGAGTCGGACTACCTCATTAATGGCATGTACCTGTAGCGGGGTGAGCAGGGTGGGGGCTGTGGCCAACCAGAAACTGTCATGGTGTGCTGAAGCAACACGTCACCTGCACCCCATCCATTAATCAGTAATCGATTAGTATCCACTGTGAGGAGGCGCTACCAGGCAGTGCAGTAACCAGGAAAGGCCCTACTTCTCTCAATGCTGATTGGTCGCTTCCACGGACTGGACTAAAGTGACAGAAACAGGGGGTGGGCCTTAGTTACATGGACAGTCAGTCACAGAAACGTGTTGTTTGCCTTCCCATCACCAGTTTTATGTGCTTGAGTGTGATTTCTTTAATGGCACATTTGTTTTTGTGTTCTTAGCATTGTTCTTATAGATGTTTTATTATTTTGAAGCTGGACCAGCCTTGAGAGATAAACAGGCCTGTTTCTGGCCTTTTTATTTTCTCGTGCCTTCTCATGTCCCATTTGTAATGATGAATATCTGAAACATCACAGATGAGAATGTGGTTGTTACTGAATGTTTACCCCCATATCACGAACCTATCCTGTTTTTACAATGTGATCTGTTGTTCTGTCTCAAAAGCGCTTTCCTCAGTCTTGTATAGAACATTCTGGTAAATCCTCAGTGCTGCTATGAAACTCCCCTCCCTCAGGGTGTCAAAATTAACTAGAAGACTAGGAATTTGCTTCATGGAAGTTTATGGAAGTCATTTTGTACTACTGACTTCTGGTTGTGGTACTACTGAAGTACTCTGATGTCCTGTCCACACGTACATGGGTATTTTTTCGGGGAGTTTTTCCTCCTCTGCTACTAAAAAAACATCTCTGTCCACATGAATACGCTGAAATGTGCTGTCAAGAGCATGCCAAACCAACAGGGGGCGATATTACTCTAACCGTAAAGCCGTGTTGGCCAATCAGAAGCATTATGACCTGTTCTGCTAGGCTAAAAACAGCTAATGTAAACAGTGAATGGCGCACACTGTGACATCAAAGTAAATAACAGCACAGACTCTGACGTCCCAAGCCAAAACCTGTTTTCCCTGTCTACACATCGACGCCATACCATTTTCAGTGACCTAAAGTGCTGTTTGTGAGTGGACAAAAGACCAAAACGCATAGAAAAAGATACAGTTGTAAAAATCCCCGTGTACATGTGGACAAGGACTTCAACTGTCGGAATGCAGAGGGGCCATGACCTATTCTGTTTCCCAGAATTCCTAGCAAAGCAGAATGTGTGTTACTTTTTGAATCATATGCCAGATTTTTTTCTGCTGCATTTTTGAACTGGCCTACCAGTTCTACTTTAAGAGGTACAAACATATACGAAGTATACACTGCAAGTGATGTATGAAGTCCATAACCTATTAAAAAGTTACTGTAAATCTTTTGTGAGCAGCGACATATCAAAATTTACTGATGGCATATATGGGAAGCCTATAGACACAAAGCAGGGAACAACCCAGGATGGGGCACCAACCCATCACAGGGCTCACGTCACACTCCATTCACTCACACAGACACACCTAGGGGCAATTTGGTAACTGCGATTAACTTGAGCATGTTTTTGGACTGCGGGGGGAAACTGGAGTACTCAGAGGGACCCCATGACGGCACGAGGAGAACATGCAAACTCCACACACATGGAACCATGGTGGCGACTCAGACCCTGGTCCCAGAGGTGTCAGGCGACAGGTTGAACCACTATACCAGTGTGCTGCCCCCTCCAAAATCCTACATGACCCATTAAAAAATGTAACACAGCGAGACAAAATCCACACCATGCTGAAGGAAAAAGAACTGCATGAACTGTCCCTTATTTTTCCATTTCAAGAACGGAGGACTCAAACGTCTAAGTTAAAGTGCTGTGAAAACGGCACAAGAAGACACAGGAACACAGACGCTCACTTTGCATTTGTGTTTATTTTGGCAAAGCAAAACCTCGCGTAGTGTCAGCGGGCAGAGAGAAAAGCCTGTGCGTAATGTTGACATGGAAACCAGAGGCGACGGACCATTCAGTGTCGAGGAAGAGAGAGTGCAGCCGTGTTTGTGATGCCCCCGCTCCTCACACCGAGGACAGAAAGCAGGGGGGGGTCGCATTGTGCCTGCATATCCAGCTGTACAGTAGGCTATGTGGGGGGGGATATCTGCAATGTCACTCCAACAAACTCGTCAGCGTGTGGTACATCTGTAAGACGGGCTACGGCTTATAGCTGTTGGCTGTGTTGTCTGTAAGCTGCTCCACATAAATACTGTTAGCGACAAAAAACAAAAAAAAAACAAACAAAAAAAAAAAAAGACAAAATGTTTCAATTAATGCACATAGCAATACCAATGTTTACATACGAGGATGTATGGTGGGGTGAGGCGGGCATCAAACCCATCAGGGCCGGAACACCAAAAAGATCAGATCCCAGTCCTCCACAGCGTGGAGGGAAAAAGAAAAAAAAAAAGGAAAAAAAGAAAAAGAAAAAAAAGACAGATCCAGTGCTTTGAATTATTTATTGATCTAACCAGAAAACCTGTACCTTGCATCCAATTTAACTGGGGGACAAAATAAATAAAAATGTCACGCAAAAAAAAACAAAACAAAAAAAAAACGAACAAAAGTATGTGCAGGCATGGGAGAAAAAAAAACCTCCAGATTTTCTAAGTTAAATAATTACCATCCTATTTCCCTGAACACAGGGTTAATCCATGGCATCGTACGCAAACAGACACAAAGTTCCCCTCGGGAAACAGACTGGGAAGCGTTGTTACTGATGTTTTCGTTTGAAATCCGATGGCTGCGGGGAAGCTGGGAACATCCCCCTCCGGGTTCGCAGGGAAATGCGGGATAGTGACAGGCTGCCGCTTCAGAGCTCATCCCTGGGAAACACGCACATGCACACACACGCAAAAAAAAACAAAACAAAACACGGCTTAGAGAGAGCAAAGGCACAGTGCTGACAGTAACCCCATCCAGAAGGCTCACTCTGGAAACCCACCCAACCAAAACACCACTAAAGAAGAGTTTCTCAACCCAGCCGGAACACGTGTTTGCTCCCTCCAAGCTCCTGGTAAGGTAGGGTAGGGAGTTGGGAGGGAGCAAAAACGTGGACCGTCTGCAGGTCCCCAAGGACTGGGTTGAGAAACTCTGCACTAAAACAAATCGACCAAGCAGCCAAGGTGCTCTCAAGCAAAAAAGAAAGTGCAAGCAATCCAGTATTAAGGGGTCCGGCCCTGGTGCCAGGTAAAGATCTGAGCAAACAGGACCAGGACAGGACCCTCCTGGAGGGGTGGAAAAAGTGGAGGCAGAAAATGACGTGAGGCAGACTCGGTGTAAGACACCAGCTTATCCTGAATGCACCTCGTTCTCAATCCAGCCCACGAAAAACGCTCGTTTGGCTTTGGGATGACGCAGCTCCCGATTCGTCCCAGAGTTAATTTGGCAAGGCACTTTGGAAAAGCAAGACTTTTACGTCCCGCATCTATTTTCCGGGAAGCGAATACATTTTAAGTATGTTCTGGTCACGCAGTGACTTCCTGATAAATTTGACTCAAATCCAAATAATCCCAGTTAGCCGAGATAAACACTGGCCAGAACATAAATAAAATCCATGAAAAGTCAAACCAAAATTCCCCATCACACTTTTTGAATTTATTAGAAATTGACTCTG